AGTGATTTTAAGAAAAATCAAGGAGAAAAGTATTTTGGTGGAGTGCGTCATTTTTATATGATATTATATAAAAATCTATTTTTAGTCAAACCTGATTATTTTACGGGGTTGGGTAGTACTTACTTAGCTCTAAAGCTAATTTTTGTTATTTCTCTTGTCTCTCTTCTCCCTTAAATTTTATCAGGTGATGAGTTGGATACCTATGTGGATTGATGGATTGCTCGAGCTTGAGTGCGAATTAGAAGATGCCTTAGTTAAATCTAGTCATGAGATAAACATTTACTTATCATTACATTAGTTTTTGTTGTTTTACTTTGAGTTGCCTGTGCATTCGGTTAAGAGATGACCGAATGTGGCGGTAACACTCATTTCCCTATTTTAAACTTCCGCTGTATTTCTTCAACTCTTTGATGAATGAATAAAGTATTTCTTTTAAATATATCAATGTTTTGGGCGGGAAATTTAGGGGTGTTACAACCTAAGCCTCCTAGGGTTTTCCCTGGTGGCTCCGAACCGGTAAGGTAAGCATACAAGTAGGAGAATGGATACGACCTTTATTTATCAAACACATAACCAGGGAGCATCATGGCAATCCACTTGTTCATGCGGAGTTGCATGTCAGGAGGCCGGTAATTTCGTAGATCCGCATCAAGGAGCACTGTCTCAGGGTCAATCGCAGCACATGCTTTCTCAGTTTCATCAAACTGAACTTCAGAGTCGGGGACAATCGAATCTGCAAGAGACACCAAACACTCTTGCTCATTATGGATAATCGGGGTTCCAACCGACTCCAACTGCAAAAACGAGGTTCGAGCCGACGGCGACTGCCAAATCGGGCTTCCAGCCGACGGATCTTCGGAGTCCGGAACAACAGCGGTGTCCACCTCTGCATCTACCAACCATTTCTGTTCCACTTCGTCCGTAGCACCTGGTTTTGCCATGGAGAAGGTGGAATACGAAGAGGGGAAGATGGGTGGGTGAAGTAAATCAAAAAGGTGGAATACGAAAAGATGTAGCGATGCGAGTGGGGTGAAGTAAATGGAGAAGGTGGAGTAATAGGAAAGAGGGGAAGAGGTGAGGCGGTGGGAGAAGTAAATGAAGTGGGTGGAATACGAAAAGGTGACGCGGTGGGAGAAGTAAATGAGGGTAGGAAGGTCTTTTTGTGTGAATTTTATTTCCTAAAATAGAAAGGATACTTTTATTTGGGGACACCCCAGAAAGGAAACAGATACTTTTAAATAGGGACGGAGGGAGTATTTAAGGAATCTGTCATACTCCCTCCGGTCCTAAATAAAGTTCACACTTTTCTTTTTGGGTCGGTCCAAAATAAAGTTCGCACTTCTTCTCCTTTCCTTATTTGGCAAATAATCTACATCAAAACAGTGCAAAACAATGCAAAGCAGTCCCAAACAGTGTCGAGCAGTGCCAAACAGTGTCACAACAGTGTACTATATAGTAAAGTCAAATTTATTTCCTTAATTTGTGTGAAATCAAATACTGAACTTTATTTAGAAATGGAGGAAGTATATACTTTTTTATATGTACAACTGTTCGCTTATGTCATACTCAATTACTCATGCACAAGTCCCATTAAAATTGAGATAAAAGGATATTCCCTCCGATCCCAAATAATCTTCATGGTTTGACTTTACGTTTTTTAAGAAAGTGAAACTTTTTGTTTTGACTTCCCCACCATACCCCTACAAAAAGTAAATAAAGTGTAGTGGGAGAGAGATAGTAGGTGTAAATAAAGTAGCTAATAAAGTAAGAGTATAAGGGTAACTTTATATTAAAAACTTTCCAAAAATAAAAGTGTGAAGTTTATTTTGGACCTACCCAAAAAGGAAAGTGTGAAGTTTATTTAGGACCGGAAGGAATATTATTTACTCCGTATCAGTGAATCATTATTATATTGGACGAACAATATACTTTCGTTCATTTCAAAGAACAAGGATATGTCAAATACTCCCTCCGTCCCTATATAAAAGTATCCATTCATTTTACACGCATCTTAAGAAAGTGAGTTTGGTTGGTACTGTTTGACACTGTTTGGTACTGTTTGGCACTGTTTTGCACTGTTTTGCATTATTTTGTTTGCCAAAAAAGGAAAGGGAACTTTTATTTAAGGACGACCTGAAAAGGAAACAAATGCTTTTATTTAGGGACGGAGGGAGTATTGAACTTCATTAAAAAAACGTCTTTATATTGTTCATTAAATGAACGTCTTTATGTTTATATGTAAAGCGTTTACATATTGTAACTATGTAAAGCTTAGGAAAATGATCACCTTATGTATTCCTCCTTCTCAGTTTATCTGTCATACATCTCTACTTTCTTTTTTGGGTTATCCCAAAATAAGTGTTATCATTTTCTTTTTTGGAAAGAAATACTTTATCCGGTCCTAAATAAATTTCACACTTTCCATTTTGGGTAGGTCCAAAATAAACTTCACACTTCTTCTCCCTTCCTTATTTGGCAAATTATCTACATCAAAACATTGCAAAACAGTGCAAAACAGTACCAAACAATGTCAAACAGTGCCAAACAAGAGTTTATTTTGCAAAGTAAACTTCACACTTCTTCTCCCTTCCTTGTTTGGCAAATTATTTTTAAGTTACACACAAAGATATGCAACGTTTTATAAAAAGAATGTAAAATATTTTACCACCCTTGTGTAAAATACATTACATGGTACCGTGGGAAAGGTTTTGAAAAAGTGTCATAGAGATTACATTAAATAATCAAGACCAATGATTTTCACCATTTATGTCTCTACACTTCAAATGCAAAGTAATTATTTCACTCTACGAAATGCCCTCTAAATCTATTCATAGCAAGAGAACGAGCTAAATGTTTTTCCTTTCGACTCAAAGTGATTTGCAAAGTTCACATTTTTTGGCCAATCAATGTTACAATTAAATTCTCTATAATTAATATAATTTTAATAATTAAAATTTACATATTCAGAAACTACATTAATGTGAAATGAATATCTATGATATTTGTTAAGTCTATACGTCATGGTCTCAACTCTCATTTAGTGATACCCTCCTATAGATGCGTGTGTCATACATATAATTGGTTAATCGTTCTCGTCTCTAGGATGTGGTCTCGAAGGTACCATCTTGAGAAATAGTTGTGCTTACCAATAAGGTGAGCATATAGAGATTCAGATCTCGTTGAGGCAGGGCGGTTGGATATGTCTCGTCAACCCTTTGTTCCCAAAGGTGGAATCTCCCACCCCAGGAGCCCCCACCCTGACCCGACAGGATGGTGGGGAGGTTAGTCACGGTGACTCAGTCAGCAGAATGGCAGTAGGCCCATACACCCGTGCGCATCAGAGACCCAACCTTATTTCAGGTTCTGTGACCTCCACCCGGTCGCTGCGGGGATTCGAACCTTGGTCCATTGTTCCAAATCTCTCACCACTCGACCAACTGAGCTACCCGTGCATGTATGTCTCGTCAACCCAATAAGTAAGCATTGTCCAACAAACTTTGTAATGTTCGTTTGGTGGATCACAATCAGGGCCGTCTAATAAATTTGGAGACTACAGTTCCAAATGATGAATTGAGACTTCTAAAACAAGATGGTATACAAATTTAACAATAAAATACAAATAGATTAGAAAACTTAGTGAAATACGGAGTATAAGTTTTATATGTTTAAAGTGCACAAATCAGACAATCTAAATGTTATAAGCGTTTTGAAATATGGGATAATACATAACATTCAAAAACATCAATCTATAACTACTATTACATACTAAATTTTTGAAAGTTCTTATAAAAGTGGACCCTGGTGCCAAACACCTAGTACTTATTGCGGGCGGCGAGTCGTCGGTTGAACTCGAGTGGCTTTCCCTTCATCTTAGTTGGGCTGTATTTATTATGTGCTGAACTGAGCACAAAATTTGTTGGGGTCAAACACTCAAACAGGTTCGTGATTTAGGATATAAACTCAGTTATAGTAAAAATATAATCTATAAACACGATGAGATTCACAATTCATCCGAGGTGAATAGCAAAAATTAAGAAATGAATTAATTAAGACTAGTGAAAAAAAATACTTGGTATATGATATGTTTGAAGTTGATTATTATGTTTCTGTTTCTTTTTAAAAAATCAGAAATTGAATCAGAATCAGTTTCACAGAAGTCGGTCTCTCTCAACTTCTTCTAAAAGTGTTTGTAAAAATTATTTAGAACATTCGGAAGTATTTCTATATTTTCACCCAAATATTAAAATATACTACGTATGTTTCTACTGCTCCGTGAAAGGTAGAACTAGTTTTAAAAAGTGATCCAAACAATCCCAAAAAAGGAAAAAAGAATGACACTATATCCCCGAGGGCCCCCAAAATCAACCGGACAGTCATATAGGAGGTCGTAAGTTTGATCACATTTTGATAGAAAGAGATTGAGCTTCATCCAAGTCATTGCTTGGAGTTGAACTCGAGACCTCTTCCTTGTGACACACTAACACCATCTTCATATCAGGCGAGCTGCGTCCCTCGATGAGATTCAAATCAAAGGCGGAGCCAGAAATGGTAGGTTAGAGGTGTCGGAACTTAAAGAATTTATGTTGTGGAGTTCAAACCTTAAATGTTCACCATATCTTTTCCTGCCTATAAATATTTATAATTCGGAGTACGTGTATACATCATAAATACTCCCTCCGTCCCGGTGAATTCTTCCTAAATTGGCTTGATTCGCAAATTTAGATAGTGGGAATAAAGTGGAAATGTATAGTTGTAGTTGCGTAAGAAAAAAGCGAATAAATGTGAAATACCTATTTTTTGAAAAAGTGTAAGAAATGACCTGTACGGTGAAAGTATTTATTTTCATGAGAGACCGAGGCCTACTCTAGCCTCCCGTGTCTTCACCCGTGATCTAAACAATCTGATAATATATTTCACGTAGTATATTGACATTTGTGCGTTTCACCTAGGTCCCATTAAGTTAGTTAGTGATACTCCGTAATAATAACTTTAAATTATTTCATCTTTCCGTATGTACTACGTACAAACATTAAATCCAACCAAAAGCAATAATGAGCAAACAAATGTGTAGACATCTTCCTAAAAATGGCGATGACATCTTGTCGTCTTGTACATGACATGATGACAAAGTTTGGCAGGTTGGCCGACGTGCTCATAGGTAAACATGACCTTTTTTGCAATCTCCTTGTATTCACCTTTGTACACAAGTTGTACATAAAATGTCCGTCACAAACAGTTGATATGGAGTTTTCTGTGAGTACAGACAAGAGTTCTATGTGTACAAAAATAACTTTTGTTTGTGTTCACAGACATTAACTTTGTGTAAAAATACATTGACAGTCGGCTGACACTGACATCAGTTTGCAAGTCAATCTATATATGTGCAGTGCATGTGTGCACAAACAATATTTTCCTATTGCACAGACAATTATTTGTCTATGTGCACAGACAATAGTTGTGCGGCTTACATACATAGTTGTCTGTGTGATTTACTTTAGTTGTCGATGTGATCAATTTTAATTGTCTGGGTGAACAAAAAATTTAATTGTCTATATACATTCTATTGAATGATGTAGTTGTATGTGTGATCAATTTACATCTAATTTGAAAAAATAAAAATAAAAATAATAAAAATAGATGAAATAAGCTAAATAAACTGATTTTGTGCTAATAACATAAAAATTGATGTAAAAAGGTAGAGAAAAAGAGGATGAAGAAGGGAAGAGGAAGATGAAGATGAAGAAGATAAAATGATCTCCCATCTTTTTTTTTGAAATTCCGAATGGATTTGGTAAAGAGGAAATATAGATCGAAGGGAGAGAGGGGACGAGACTGAGAATGGAGAGAGAAGGGAGAAAGAGAGGGGGGAGTGGGGAAAATGGGATTTTTTTTACTTTTATATGGTGTACACTTTGTGTTCGTTAATCATTTTTCTATACATTTAGGGCATCTCCAATGTGGAGATGAATTGTTATTCCACGCAAGCCAATACACTCTTTGTTTACAAATGTAGTTTTCAATGTTAAAAAATGGATCTAGTCATGCTTAATTGACAATCACAAGAGGGAAAGGTCCAGCATGAGGTCCATATATGGACCTTGGATCTCACCTTGGAGGCTTAGATGAGAGTGCACTCACTTTATTTTTATTTTTTTTGCATTGGAGCACAACTTGAATGGACCCTATCATTTTTATAAAAAAAAGGATATTTTGACTTTACACCCCGCTTTTTGGTGATATTGGATTTTGCACCCCATTTTCAAAACTCTTAGACTTTGCACCCTATTTCCCCTAAAATGTATTTGCCTTTGCACCCCATTCAAGATTTTTTTTCACAAAATGTTGTAGATAGGGTGCAAAGTCTAAAAGTTTTGAAAATGAGATGCAAAGTCTAATATCACCCAAAAAGTGAGGTGCAAACTCAAAATTCCCCTTAAAAGAATTGGTTCATACATCAAATAGACTTTTTCCATTGTGTTGCCACATCATCTCCAATGCACCATAACATTGGAGATGCCCTTATATCCACCTTATATTCTCCATGATGATGATGATGATAATGATGATGACAATCATGACGATGATAATACTTACCCTTATACATTTATTACCACTTTATATTCACCATGTTTGTTCACAATGACAGTTTTGACTTGCTTGTCATGTTTTATATTTGAATGACATCTGTCAAGTTTCTCTACAAAAATGTCATTTTTTAACATCTGAATCCCCTTTGTTAATGTCAAGTTTCTCTACAAAAATGTCATAATTACTGTAACATGACAGTGCATATATAATATGTGATTTTTAAAAAATGACATGTTTTTTTAATCGGCATGTATTCCAGATGGTGAACGATTTGCTTGAGTAATGTTAGATTGTGTTTGTTTTGCCAAAAAAAGGCATGTATTCACAATTTGAAAATGACATGTTTTCCATCTACAAATGCCCTCTTTTTAGACAAAAATGTAATTATAATTTTTTAACATGTCATTTGCTTTCCAAAATTGTGAATTTGTTGGAGGAGGTGGCGATGATGTCGGATAGCGTGATGACCTCACCGGAGGATAGTGGTGACGGTCTCGGTGGTGGTTAGCGGTGAAGCCTCACTGGACGGTGACGGCGGCGATGGCGGTCTCGTAGGAGAGTGGCGATAGTAGTGACATTTAATCGTGGTTGTTGTCTCACTAGAGCGTGGCAGCCGGAGGCAGTGGTCTAACCGCCAGAGGGTGGCGACAATATTATTGCTGGATAACAGTAGCCGTAGCCAGAGGATGGTGTATGTTGGAGGCTCGTAACATTAGCCATGTAGCTGGTGTAGAAAACATAGAAGTCTTACTTTTTCACTTTCTTAATTAATGTTTAGTCTTATTTAAGTAAATATCTCTATAAAAAATACCTTCTATATATACATATCTCTTGATCCATAGCAAGCTTTATAGTAAAGTTGTAAAAAATCTTTAGCAGGGTTTTTAAAAAAACTTAATATTTAAATAAAGTTTGAGTACAAAACATAAACACAAGAATGTTTTAAAAATGCAAATAATTGAAATAAATAGCTGTGTGAGTGAGTAATTTCTCATTTTCATGTATTTTCTTGTTTTTTACTACGTATAATAAAGTGATTTTTGGGTAAAATGAAGTACACAAGAAGTAAATAACTAGATTTTTTACATACTTCCAATTTCTCTATATATAAAAAATAATGTTTAATTTAGAGAATTGAAAAAAAAATCATACTATAAGCATATATTGTGGCTATGTATGTTAACGGATCATCAATCATCAATGTATACCCTCCTTTCTAAAATGGAGTGTAAATTCACTATATATTTGTAAAAGTAACATAAGTGTTGCAATTTTAATATACAAGCATTGGGAAAAAAACTATTTTTTTGCCACAGTATCACTTTTATCATAATTAAATTTACATTTTGTGTTTCTATAGAGCTTTAAATATTGTGTTTAAATATATGTCAACATTAATCATTTGCAATAGTTTAAAAAACAACTCACAACTCGATATGGGATAAATGAAAAGGTCTCACAAGGAAAATAATACTCCCTCCGATTCTCGCAACTTCCAACTTTCCTTTTCGGGAAGTTCCGAAATTAACTTCACGTTTCTTCTTATTTCCTTATTTGGCATATTATCTACACCAAAACAGTGCAAAACAGTGTCAAACAGTGCCAAACAGTGTTCAAACAGTGCCAAACAGTGCACTCCACAGTAAAGTCAAATTTATTTTCTTAATCTATGTGAAGTCAAACTGTGAACCTCTTTGAGAACCGAAGGGAGTAATAAGTTTACATAGGTCCAGTTTGGTGACGGCCGAAAGGGTTGAAATTGGTGAAGTGAAGTGTTTGATAATATTATAGTTGAAATGACCGATTGAATATAAAATTACCGTAAGGGAATAAAATTACCATTATCATATACTCCGTATGTAGACAACTAGTGGAGAGGAACAACCAGAGACCAAAAAATGAAAAGGCCGTGCAGCAAGAAGCCGTCAATCAGAAACGAGGAGTTTAAAGCATGCAGTTGATTTATATACATATACAAGTATATAAAAAATGATAACGAGCGAGCTGTCTTTTTCAGGAGCAACCCCGGATTGATGAATAATCGAAGAAAGAATTTTGGTGATCTTTATTTTTGCATAATTACTCGATCATTAAAATTGTTCCAAGACAAAATGAGGACACTATTACGATGTGTATCAGTGCACCTGCACATGTCTGATATTACAATTAAAGTAAAATGTACTAGTATTTCTTAGAAATTATAAAGAATATAGACGATATATACGACGGTGTGTATATATATACTAGCATGGTAACGCGCTTTTCGCGAAATCCCGTGTCCAACAATTAAAAACATGCAATAAAGCTGCGCAAAAACGCGTTGTGTGAGGTCAGAGCCCAATAGGGGCAAAATAGTTAGCGAAAGCATCAACGCGAGAAAGAACAAAAACAAAACATAAGCAGGCGTACGTGCTTTGCACAGCAAAGTTCAGCAAAATGGTAAGAGTGAATGTAGCTAGCAAGAGAGCAAAATGCTGTAAAGAGAAATGAGGAAAAAGAGCTAGTTTACCTGAATTCAAATTCAATGCGGAATTGTCCATCTTTTAATCCCATGCCCTTCTAGCATGCTGAATTTGTGCCAACCAAAGAGGTCATAGCAGCTAGGAACAAGAAAGGAAATTAATTAAAACTCGAGAAAAGGTGTGGGCTACGGGTATGACGCAGAGGTAGGCGCTGATTACCTGATTTACTTGACAAATTTCTGAGACATCTGTTTCCTAGAAATGTTCTATTGCGAATCAAAACTATAGCGGACCATAAACACTGGACACCTTACTTTTGCTAATTAAGAGGAAAAACACCATATCAATTATTGTTTAGAAAATTATATATGAAGTGAAGCCACAAGAGTTTTAGATTTTTTTATAATCTCAAATTTGCAACAGCTTTTTAATTTGCATTTCACCAAATTTAAAGAAAATAGAGGCCTTTTTTAGAGTTTTTTAAAAAAATGCTAAAAGTTTTGCATTTGATGTCAACCTAAAAAGAGTTTTTAAAGTAAGTTCATACATAAAATGCACAGTCATACCAAATTACATTTGCAACATTAGTATGATTAAAAGTTTAATTAAATTTTTTTTAAAAAAATATCTTCTTCGAAAGCTAAGTTGCATAATCATCCCATAAACGATGAGTAACCTGAAACATTGGGGTAATGCTGCAGCCTCCAGCAGGCATCCCAAAAGCACGTACATGGCCAAGTTGGTACTTAAAATGACCCTGTCTGTGGCAAACAAGATATTAAGAGAGTTTTTATTTATTTCTCAAATACAATGATTTTTTTAAGTTGGTACTTAAAACGACCCTGTCTGATAGCATTTACATTGCTTGAGTTCAAGTTAATAAATTATTCTCTAGCTTAGACATTTTCTATTAAAGCAATGTTAGGAGAACTCCCTTTTATGTTTGCCTCTTCTGTTTGTGACCTGCGTGAACCCATCTAGGTGGTTATCCCCCTCAAGAGGATTAGCTATTGCTCCTGAAAAGGAATACAAATTAGCCTTGTTGTCCTCAGATATGATATCATCATTGGACAGTAAAGGGGCCATCAGGGGATTAAAATACTTAAGTCCTGCTCTAGCCTCAAATTTATCATAGGCAGAAGCGCATGAGTTTATTTGATCCGGATTCAATACAATCAGATGAACATGACCTACGGCTACCGCCTCATTACAGGTGGCCACCGGGGTTTCATTCATAATCATGGTAGCACGGGCAGCATCTGCGGTAGTAGAAAGATGGCCAACAGGAGTGGTATCCGTTGTGGCATTGAATTCATTTGTACCAGAATCTTTTCTGGGAACAAGGGGTGCATCATTTGTATCATAACCAAAGGCAACTTCAGTGAAAATGGGGGGATCAGACTGATAAATGGTAACCACGCCAGTAATACCATTGGTATTAGTAGCTGCTACCTCACCTGAAATAGAATGGCCATTGTTTGAAACCTCACAGACTGTTTGTCTACCAGATTCTACCATAGCAGAATCAACCTTAGCTACACGAGCATCAAGTTCATGAATATCCACCATTGCTAACTGGACAGGGTACACAGAGAAGTAAGCAAGAGGTTTCAGTAAATCCTCATTGGCAATAACATCAATAGCACTAACATAATTGGCATTAGCATCAATATTAGTAACATCAGCAGGGAATATAGGGGCAGAATTAGCACAAATTGTGGCTATGTTAACATCAATAGCAGTAATATCATTGACATTAACATCAAGCTTAGTAACATCAGCAGGGATTAGAGAGCCCCTGAAGCCTACCATCTTTTTAGATCCACACGGATGATGTCAAATATGAGAAACAAGCACTCTCTTGAAACTCTTGAAACTGTTGCATATATATATGCATATTATGAAACACATTTTCAGAATGCAGAACTAAAATATAACAAATAGAAATGCAATAATGCAAGAACACTGGACGACCAAATGACACATCGATTAAAATTTAAAAAAGTGTGAGCGATGAGAGGCTATAAAGCATACACTTCACAGTTTGGCCCTGAAATTGTGATAAGAAACAGTGGGTTTATGAAAAAGATCTCAAACAAAGTTGATAAAAAAACACAACATGTGCCTCCACATCTTTATTTATAGTCTTTTCCCACATTTAGCAAAAAATAGCATTGAAATGCAATCAAAAAGTTTAAAATAATGTGTGTGGATGTCTTCTTTAAATTAGTCGAGCACCCTCAAACTTTATTAGGTGCGGGTGGGTGTCTTCAATCGTATCCATGGAGGTATCCTCAGCTGAGAAATCTTTAGTAAATCTGATTTACTAAAGATTAAGAAAAAAAGTTGCAAAAACTGTTAGATTCATTCCAAATTAACTTAGGAATACGATGTGAAAATCCAAACCTTATCCAAAGAAGAACATGAAACATGAAAAGTCACTAATAAAGAAGTTATTGTAGTTCTGTAATGAACCAGATAGATGACGGCGAAGGAAACGAACAAACTGAGTCTGAAGAATAAATGAAACCATTCATATAACAAAACAAATGTGTGAATTAAATCCAAATACAACTGATCATATAAAATCAAACTCAATTTGAAGTTACCTTCTTTAAATTAGAAGGTGCAGGTGGGTGTCTTCTATCATATCCAGCAATTCATCTTTACTTTCACTCTAAGAATTAAATTACTACAAAACATGATAAATTAGTGGCAAGAGAAAGCCATGAACTTTGCATAACTACAAAGAAAGGAACATAAGAGTTAACATGCACACCACTTGAGAAATCAATTTTCAGGTATATGAAACCATAAGAATTCTAATCATACTGCATAAATTGACCTTTCAGAGCATCATGGCGACTACGTAAGAACTGTGTTTAGACAACAAAGACCACGAGGTGTTTTTGTATAACACACTACTCCCATTATGATCACAGGAGGAGTTTCGACTCTTATAACGGGCTCACGGGTTTCTTTCTTGTGTTATTCTAGGAAAAACCATAATGTGTAAGAACAATGAATCATAGAATTTATAAAAGCAAAGTATAGAAAAAATCAGAAATTATCCATTAAGATGTATACAACATAATGTACAAAAAACAGACCGAGAAAAAGTAATATGATACATACTTGATCTTGGTTTCTCAACTTCTCTCACAATGTAACCCAAAAATGCAGTCAGTCTGCATGGTTTGGAAGGTTCATCCTTAGGAAATACCTTCACAGCATAAAATATGTTTACTCAGTGAATGTTGTTTTCAACAACCACGAAAAAAACTGGCTACACCATTTAACTGATTTAACAGGCACCAAATCCACGAATATATATTATTTAAAACATAAATTGAAATATTGTAGTAAACAATGTAACCATTGAATATATAGTAACAATCGAATGGATAAGAGGGATCAATTTGTTATTACTTTCTATACTCCTTAATAAACATAAAAGAAATATTAATATAAAATATTTATAAGAGCAGTTATAATAGACAAATGTGTGACAAAGTTTAGAACATATATGTACATATACTATGGGTAAGCCAAGTAACTACTTGAACACCAAACCAGTAACTCACTTGAGATATGGAGGTGTATCTCTGCTCACTTTCTAAACAAAGAATACTTATACCATAGAATCAGGTTATATGGTTGGGAGATTAAAGTAAATAGTCGTCAAAAACAGAAAGCGAGCCTAGATTAATTTAGAAGCTGTTGGAGGTATTGGTCCTATCAAGGTCTCCCTTCCACTTTATTATTAAGTCTTGCACCCCATGTTTACTCCCACTTTGATTCCCTTAGTTGAAATCACTCATTGGTGTCTGTTGACTTACAATATGTGAGCCCCCTTTTTTTTTTTGTCCGCTGCACCTCCTGTCTGGCAGCCTGTGACACCCTGTTGATTAGCCTCACCCGTGACTTTCCTTGGCAGCCTATTTGTAGTCCTTTTGTTTTCCCCTTTGAGTGAGGCCGGTGTAAATAATCCCAGAGAGCAGTGTCTTCCTTCTTCCTTTCCTTGTGTGAGAGTTCCTTTGTGGAGTGAAGAAGAGTGAGTAAACATGGGAGATGTTGTGGCCTAGCCCTAGAGGGTGTGTGTGAGTTTAGTCTAGAGTGGTTGGAGACCTGAGCCGGAGACGGATACGATCCTAACAGTGGTATCAGAGCGGGTTCGCCGTCTGCCGCCGTTCACCGCCGCCGTCTGCCGCCGTCCGCCGCCAATTCGAGGTCAGGGAAGTCGTGACCGTCGATTCGCCGTCCGTGGAGGTGTCCATCGCCTGGTAAGCTTGGACCTGAAGAACTGAACTCAGAAGGGTCGGACTGGAAGCCGGTTGCTGCGCAAATCGCCGAAGCCACCGAAGCTGCCATCCGCTGTCGCCTGAGAGCTATCGACGGTGGTCGCTCGTGGTTGGACCCACTCGTCCATCGAAGGCAACACCTGCGAAGGTCTGTAGTTCGTTCCTCGCGGAACGCAGATAGCAGGGACGAAGAAGTCTACTGGGCTTCAATTGCTGGACCTTGGGCTACTAGATTTGGGCCTGGTGGACTGCTTCTAGAGCTGAAGGAGCTGGGCTGCTGACCTACTGGATTTGGGCTGCCAAGCTACTGGACCTGTGCTGTTGGGCCGCTGGACTGACCTGCTGGAGTTGCTGGAGCAGCTGGACCGCCGGTCAACGCCGGCCACGCCGGTCAACGCCGGTCAACGCCGGTCAATCCCAATTTTTTAAATTGGGTAGGTAAGGTCGAAACCCTCTCCTAGGGTTTCGCTAAGGTAAATTGGCTATAAACACCCTAGGTGCACCGGGTGCCTCCGGATTTAATTTTATTCCCCCTCATCGCGGGCCGCCGATAGATTGTATCCCGGCCGCCAACCCCCCAGGTGCGTTTGCTAAACCCTCTCCTTTGTGGCAGATTGTTTAGTTGTTTAAATTGAATTGCTAAGTGTTACTTAATTCATTTGTTATGCGTAGGGGTGGTTTATTGAGTATTAGGGGTAGAATTAATTAATGTTAACTGCTGCCCGGAGTTGTTTTATGTGCCAAACTGTCCATATTTGCTATTTGTTGCATGCTGCCCGGAGTTGTTTTATGTGCCAAACTGTCCATATTTGCTATTTGTTGCATGCTGCCCGGGGTTATTAAAGTGTATACTTTATATCCCGGGTTGGATTATTTTCTGTCAAATTTGTCTGTTTAGCTTTGTGTTGTTTTGTGGTTGATACCATGGCTGCTAATCAGTATGGTATGCTTCCATTTAATGGAAAAACAGATTATGATATTTGGAAACAGAAAATTAAGTGTGTTTTAATACAACAAAAAGTTTTCAGAGCTGTCACTGGTATTTTCCTTGAATCAGAAGATAAGGCTAAGCAAATTGAAATGAACGAAACTGCTTGTTCTACTATTTACTTGAATCTGTCTGATTCTGTGCTTAGGAAAGTGGGTATTCTTGAGTCCGCTAAGGAATTGTGGGAGAAATTGGATAGTCTCTATACTGATACCTCTTTGCCCGGGAAGTTGTTTTTACTTGAGAAATTCTTTAGGTTTAGGCTTGACCTGACTAAGGATATAGATGAGAACCTGGATGTGTTTAATAAACTGATACAGAATATCAAACAAGCAGGTGATAAACACATAGACGATTATACTCCCATAGTATTACTTAATGCCATTCCCGACTCTTATAATGATGTTAAGTCCGCTATTAAGTATGGTAGGGATGAGATTTCGTTAGATATTGTTGTTAATGGGTTAAGGAGTAAGGAATTAGACCTGAAGCATGCTAGGGGTAGTGCTAGTCAGTCCAGGGACTCCGGTGAGGCTATGTTTGTTAGAGGTAGATCTAAGGGTAGGTCTAAGAACTCTAAGCAAAATAGTCAAAGTAAGAACACTAGTCAGCCTGGGAGAAAGAGGAGCAAATCTAGGAAGAGAGTGTGTTACAATTGTGGTAACGCTGACCATTTCATTAAGGATTGCCGTAAACCTAAGAAGACCGAGCATGCTAGTGTAGCTGTTGATAAATGTGACCTTGGTGATATTTTGATGGTTTGTGACCATGTTAATTCTGTGCGTAATTCCCTGTCTGAGCATGAATGGTTGATTGACTCTGGTTGTACCTATCACATGTCCCCCTTTAGAGATTTGTTTTCTACATATGAATTATGTGATAGTGGCTATGTTTCCTTAGCTGATAATAAGAGATGCAATGTGCTTGGTGTGGGTGATATATGTCTGAAGTTTTCTTGTGGCTCTGTGTTTACCATTAAGAATGTGAGGCATGTCCCTGATTTGTGTCATAACTTGTTATCTGTTGCTGCTTTGGAGAGTAGTGGTTTACAGGGAAAATGGGGGAATGGTTGCATGAAAATCTTGAAAAATTCTCTTGTGTTGTTTAAAGCTGAGAAGGTGAATAACCTTTATGTGTGTCATGCTAAACCTTTTACTGAGTCTGTGAATGTTGTATGTTCTGATAAGACCTCTTTGTGGCATAATAGGCTAGGACATATGAGCAATAAGGGCTTAGATGTCATGCGTAGGGCTGGTTATTTTGGTAAGGACTCTGTGACTTCTGTGCCTTTTTGTGAATCATGTGTGTTAGGCAAGCAGCATAGAGTCAGCTTCCCTCCTTCCTCTTACCCTAATCTGTCTAAGTGTTCGTCTGTGCTTGAATATGTTCATGCCGATGTTTGGGGTCCTGCCAGTGTTCCTACCCACGGGGGTAGGAAATATTTCCTTTCTATTATTGATGATTTCTCTAGGAAGGTGTGGGTTAGCCTTTTAGAACACAAGTCTGATGTGTTTGTGAAGTTTAGGGAGTGGAAAACCCTAGTTGAAAACCAAACTGGCAGGAAGGTTAAAACCCTTAGGACCGATAACGGGTTAGAGTTCTGTAATAAGGAGATGGATAAGCTGTGTGTGGATTGTGGGATAAAAAGGCACAAAACTGTGCCTTATACTCCCCAACAGAATGGGATAGCAGAGAGAATGAATAGGTCTCTGTTGGATAAGGTTAGAAGCATGTTAGCTACCTCTGGTTTGTCTAAGAAATTCTGGGGTGAAGCAGTTACTACTGCTGCCTATTTGGTG